AGGAAGAGGGAAAGGAATTGGGAGGGAGAGGAGGGAGAGGTGGGGGGGAAAGAGGGGGGTCGATACCCAGGAAGATAGAAGAAGACGAATAACGAAAGACTAACGCTGTGCGGGCATACTCAACACTGGGACTTTTGCGACTCAGCTCGGGACATAATCGCGGTCTGTTTACATCCGTAGTTGACCGTAATTGCAGTCAGATACGTCTAGGAAAGTCCTAGTGCGAGTACATGCTGAATCTCTCTCTCTCTCTCTCTCTCTCCCCCTCTCTCTCCTTCTGTGTGAAAATGTATTCCCGAAAAAAAAAGTCAATGTATCAAGCACAGTATCTTTTTTGTTAATCTTTTGTTTTTTTGGTCGCCACCGCCGCCCTTCTTTTTTTCTTTTTTTTTGGATGAATCCATTGCCAGCATCCCCCAAAACAGACAGTCCCCCACTTGACTTCGGAGCCTGTTATAACTTTTCAATAGTCTAAAAGATTTGGACCATTTCTCGATTTATGCGTGTCATCCCTTAAAGCGCAGGGGCCATGCTAATCTTCTCTCTGTGTATCGTTCCAATTATAACGGATGTCCCGAAGGACACCTCCGCCCTTTTTCATGCTCCCATTCGTCGGACATCCATACTCTGCCACAGCAGACTCCTTTCCCTAAGAAAAAAATCGAAAAATGTTCCCCCCCTCTTCCCCCCCCTCCTCCTTCCCCCCTCCAAGTTTTTGTGTTATTTACAGTACTGTTTGCCTCGGCTGTGTCTGGTTTATGCTGTCTCTGGCAGTGGGCAATCGATGGCAGAGCTCAAGCGACGGCGACGCTGCTGAGGTGCCGCTGTGGTGTGATCTGGTCTGGTGGGGTGGGGTGAATGGCGGGGAGAGGGGAGGGGGGTGGGGGTGGGGGGGGAGCGTCCCTGCCCCTGATGCTTTCACTGCGCGCCAATGTTACAGCCTGCCATCTGGCGGCCAATAGCCTCCGTGGCGTGCGCTGCTGCAATGGATAAAGTTTTGGCCAGACCGGGGATGGCTTTCAGATTCGCATCACACTCACACTCTCTTCCCCCTCCCTCTCCCTCTCCCTCTCCTCCACTTCATCATCCTCGTGTCAACGATGCTGTTCCCTCTCCCTCTTCCCCTACAGGAAATGGCTTCCGGCCTATGACAATGACAACACCCGTCGCAATCCACGGAGCTGATTCCACTACACCAGTGGATGGTTTATCTCTCACCACTTATGCCATCATGGCCTCCTCCTCCTCCTCCTCCTCCTCCTCCTCCCACTCCTACTACTCATCATCATCATCACCATCATTGTCATCATCGTTTGCATTGTCATCATTGACATCATCCTTGAGTGGTGGAGGGTCAAGCTTTGAGCAAGGAGAGGAGGGACAGCAGGAGAAGGAAGAGCCGGGGGGCTCATTCAGGGCGCGAACCAGCAGCAGGCCAGCCGGGGGTGGTCACGAAGCAGCGCATGCAGCTGAGGCATGGGCACATTTCAGAAAACTGGGCTCCCCTTGGCGACACGTTGCACCCATGGTCGATCAGTCGGAGCTTCCGTTCCGGATGCTCTGTCGGAAATACGGTGCCGACGCGGCGTACACACCAATGCTTCACAGTCGTCTGTTTGTAGAAAACGCCAAGTACCGCAGAGAGCATTTCACAACTTGCCCCGTAAGTGGACGAACTGGAACGACTCACCCACTCATAGTGGAAGCACAAAGGGTCACGCACACAGTTCATTTATGTACGGACAGTTCATGTGCAAAGTTCAGGTGTACAACTCACGTGCACAGTTCACACAGTCGCACACAGGTCCACGCACAGTCACACACAGGTCGGCACACAGTTCGGACACACTATCACGCACAGTTCTCTCTCCCTCTCCCTCCCTCTCTCACCCTCTTCTCTGTCTCTCTATATATATTGGGGGTGCTAACATTCTTCTTATTGGATTGTAATACTGAGTCATCCAGCTACACAGTTGCTTAGGACGGCTTGCAGCGTCTGTGTGGTCCAAGTCCAGACCAGAGCTGGTATTAGAAGACTTGGATGGTCTGCTCGGATTTCTTGACGGACAATTTGGCGGATAGTAGTTAGTGCGGGAACGAGTTTGTGCAGTTGTGGGTTTTCTCTGTGTGTGTGTGTGTGTGTGTGTGTGTGTGTGTGTGTGTGTGTGTGTGTGTGTGTGTGTGTTTTGT